GCAGCAGGGAAAGCTGGAGGTTGGTGGAGATTATTCCTTGGTCGTCCGCATTAAGGTGTAAGTCGGTCGCAGGAGAGTCGGCCTCAAGCTCGGGGTATAAGACTGGGGGAAAGCGAGGGTATTCCCACACTACACTCTCGGAAAAGACGAGAGAGAGTAGAATATCCGGGAATTGAAACAGGAAACGCAAGAACCCAACAACGGGATTTGGGATTGGGATGGGGGCGAAGGGGGAAAGAAGAGGGGGGTAAGTGAGAAGTGGCCGGAAGTGGAGGATATAATAGAGAAACCCGGCAGAAGCTCCGTCGTACAATGGAATGTGCGAGTGTGGCTGCCCTTGGGGGCCGAGAGTCTAAGCTTTATTATTCCCCCCTCCTCGTACAAAGAAAAAATCGACTCGAGGAAATCGTTCGAGGTGCAGAAGAACAGTTGGTGGCTTGTCCAATTCGCTGAGCGGTGCCTGCAGGAGCAAGGGTGTTTGTTATCTTCCCGCCGCCTTTGGGAAAAGCGTGAAGGTGCAAATGCAGGACCGCACAGCGCGGTGTGTTCAACAACAGGACGAAGTAGTAGCCAGCCAAAGAGAGGATCGGAGGACTCGAGGATTGCCCAATGCGTTCAGTCGAAATCAGATGAGGGCAGAGAAGAGTGGGATATTGTCACCCATTTTGGGGGCGAGAAGCCAAGCTGGGGTCGGAGAGCTGTGGAAAACTGGGCAAGACTGTTGGTCCATCCAAGACTCCGATGCACCGTTCCCGGCGAAGAGGGAATGTACTGATGCAGTGAGATGGGTTCAACCGGCCAGGCGCCTGACCGCAATTCAGCATTGGCTGGAAGGAAAATTGACTATGGAGATGTCACACATCCAGTCCAAGAGGAACGGGCAAGGTGTGGGCGCTTGTCCTCGCGGAGAAGCATGCTGGCGATAGACCCGTGCAGTAGTGAGTACCCTAGTGGAGAGTGCCTAGACTGACTATTGCTAGATGCGGTGATGGAGACGACGAACGGACAACAGTGAGCGGCAACTGGAAGAGACGTGCAGGGGGGGCTGGCACGCGGAAAGGAAGAGGGGGCATGGCGGGATCTGCAGGATGCCCACCCGTAGAATCTACGAAGTACGTCTTACTGGACCTCCATCGTGAGTAACCCATCCTTACGCTCGCTTTCGCTGTCGACAAGAGAGCCGAAGGGCCCGGGCGTGCAGATGGCAGATAACTTGTGCGGAACGAGGGTTATTAGACAAAATGCTAGTTTATATGGATAAAAATGAATATGATGTTTAAATGTTTAAACAAGGAACGAGCAGGACGGCAGATAGCGAGGTGAGCGGAGAAGCAAAGTGCAGCGGAGGATACATTAACAGACAAATACAAGTACGAAGTAGATGAGCGAGGTCAAGGGTCGATGCACCAACATCATGGGAAAACGCCACGGACGAGACGAGACTCCGCTCTCGATTCTCGATTCCTTGTCGTTAACGGCCAAGGGCAAGGAAGATCCCAGGTGAGGTGATTGATGTGGTGAGTCCCGCATGAAGCAGTGAACAAATCCCACAGCCATCAAATCAGAGTGCTCTCAGCAGCAAGAACTCCACTGCATTCTAGATGAAAGTACAACAGGTATTGTGCGCGCACGAAGTGGAGTCCGCACTCTGTGACTGGATTCTCGTACTTTTGCGGGTTTACAGGGCCAAAGAAAAGAATCGTGTTGGTCCGAAGGGGAGAGGAGGAGAGGGGGCCAAAAAGTGACGAGCCGGGAGATGGGCAGATCGGAAAATCAGCAGTCCAGCGAATGGCGGGCCAGATGTTGAGAGTCGAGCTTCTTCTGGCTCTGATTTGGGGGCTGTCAAGGTTCTGGTTCTGTGATGTGATTCGGGGGCCCACCAGCGTTGCAATCTACGGGCGGCAAGATGCAGGACGTGATTCGCCAGGGTCCGGGTGTGGAAAGGTGTGCTCAACCGTGCATCACTGCATCCCCCGGTTCCACTCCAGACTGATCCGGGCGGCGGACGCTGCATTGAAGAGCTCATAGGCCAGGCCCGTAGGGGTTCTTTATGCTCTGGTGGAGTCGTCGTGTCCTCCAGCCCTCGAGCTGTGTGAAAAGCTGTGCTCAATCCCGTCGAATTCCTCCGTGCCGAGAGCTCTTCCACTGCCTGACGAGTTGCGAAGGTCAGCTTTTGCCGTATTATTCTCTCCCAACCGCAGGTATACCACCCATGTGCCCGATAGAGTCGTACTTGAAGTCTGAAAGGTCGATCAATCACATCCTTCTGCGAGCATCGTACGAAGCATGTCCGCTGGGCTCAAGATCTGTATGATTATCGACAAAAATTCCTACTCATTCGTACCTTTCGAATTCGGTCTCTTGCCCTCCGCTTGATTAGCTTGGCACCTCCAACCACCGCGGAGAATCATTGCTTCGTACTGCGTAGTATTCCACGAAGAACAGGAGTTCATAATATCCGCAACCGCGGACGAGGACGAGATCACTATTTCATGGGTCCATCCTTGCTTCCTCAGCTCTCGTCATGGGCCGCCCCGGCTTGGCGTAATCGATGTTTAGACAATCGGCGGAAGTTCGGCATGGCAGAAGCTCAGACTCGATTGAAGACGATTGATAATAATACTCTCAAGTCTCAATTAATACTCGAGGTCGTTGGTAGAAATTCCGACGAAGTCCTGTCTCCTATTACAGACCATCATCGCGACTGCTCCCTCAAATCGTCAATCGTCGACTTCAATGTTGCAAATGTCAGCACCTGCAAGACGTAATAATTATCAGTGCAGCCCACGAAGACTCTGTTTCTCTTCCTAGAGTAATACTCGCATGAGCCCGGGCGACGACACTTCTATTATCGCCATACTCCCTCAGTATTTAAAATAAATATATAACAAAATTAAAGAATTTTTTATATAATTATTACTATTTATTCTTATAGTGTGATACTTTCGTCATTAGTTGAAGTAGAAAGTAGCAACAATGATATCTCGATCAGCCTCGAATCTCTCGGACCATGATTGGCCATTTTGAGACCCCCACTTCCCACAAGGCTGCTCTGACTTTCAGATTGGAAAATTCAAACCAGCAACCAGCAACAGAACAGCTTTGTGCCTTACAAGATCCTAAGCCTGCAGACCTCCCGTGTCTCTTTATAACCGCAGAATCGACCTTTGTACACCCGATTTCATCTCAAATCGCAGTCCAATCGCTACAGGCATCTCCGCAACACTCAAGCCACCCGAGATGACATCCGAAGCCCCTCAGGGCTTGCCGCGAGCCACCTTCGCGAAGCTCTCTCCACATCCCTACCTCCTCGCCAACCTCGAGCCATCCGATAAAGAAAGGGCTCCCGCTCGAAGCAATGGCCGTGCCCCATGGGCCGCCCGCCCTCCCACCGTAAACAACTCCAGTCTCAACCATGCTCAAGGGAGCTCGCTGGTCCGCATTGGCGACACCACGGTCATCTGCGGTGTGCGGGGCGAGACGATATTAACCTCCGATATCCCGAATTTCAGGCCCTCTAACCGAAAGACCGAATTGATAGACTACGATTTACTAGTGCCAAATCTTGAGCTGGCTACGGGTTGCTCGCCCCAGTTCCTGCCTGGCCAGCCGCCTAGTACTCTGGCGCAAACGCTCAGCACGCGTGTCTACTCGTTATTACATGCGTCCAACCTCATCAACCCAAACGATCTCCGAATTTGGTACAAATCCCCCTTGGCGGACGAAGATCAAGAAATGTCCGACGACGAGGAAGACGACGGCGGTGAGGAGAAGGCGAGGGTTGTGGCATATTGGGTGCTCTACATCGACATGTTCTTCATCTCCTTCGACGGAAACCCATTCGACGCCGCATGGGCAGCCATTGTAGCCGCCCTGCGCAACACCCGTCTCCCCCAAGCCCGCTGGGACCCCGACCGAGAGATGATCATCTGCTCGAGGAAGGACCCCAAGCCGCTGACCATCAACACTCTACCCATCGCCTGCACCGCTGCAATTTTCACCGGAACGGATACGGATAGGCCGGGCGACGGCAAGTACTGGCTCCTTCTGGACCCCGATAAGCTGGAGGAGAGTCTTTGCGACGAGACGCTTACCATTGTGGTGGACCGGAGTGAGGGGGATACCAAGATACTGAGTGTTGCGAAGCATGGAGGTACGGTTGCTAGTCCACAGCTATTACGTGGGTTTATTACGGTTGCGGAGAAACGGTGGGATGAGTTTCAGTCTGCCATGAAGGCGTCTTCTTGATACCCGGACAGAGTTGGCCAATAAAAGTTATGAGTTTCACTACGTTCTCCCTCGTCTGCCTTGATCTTGTGTGTCTGTTTATAGACCTCCGCACTGGAAGGGAGATTGCATTATCTTTGTATTAATCGTAGCCTGGTGGTAAAGGCAACCTTGGGCAACGAAAGAATTCGGTTTGTACAATCGAAGGATTCAATAATCGCCATGGCCAGGTTCCGACGCATGTTTCCCTCACTTATTATGCCTCAGCCAGGCGTGAAAAGAAAAATAGCACAGAAATCCAGGCCGAGTTTCGATATAACACATACGCAGCCAACCTCCAAAAAAAATTCTACGACATGACATGTATCGACCATTCGAACCACTCTTTCAGACGTTATTCTAGAGCAGTAGATACTGGCAGACAAGTAAAATCTTCATCTACCGCTCAAGTAACCAAACATCTAGTGAAAGACGGTTTGTTTGCAGCCCGGGACGCAGCGAGATATTCGCGCCCCGAGAGACTTGACTTGAGCGGATGAAAGATATGTTGCGAGTCGAAATTTTGGCCAGAAACAAATGTGTGCCGCAGAAATACTCCTTTCTCTAAGCTTGGCGCACAGACCATTTCGGACAGTTGGCGAAAATTGCCGAAGTTTAGCCCTGGTTCCTGCCTTTTCTTCTCCACCACAACTTAATATTTCATCACCAACTTCTCCTCTTCCTCATTCTTGTTGCCTGCCTGCAAACGTCTCCGGAAAGAGTGTGTTGCAATCATGGAGTCCCTATCAGAGACGTCCTGGGATGTTGTCATCTGTGGGACGGGGCTCCAACAGGCCCTGCTTGCGCTGTAAGTTTTTAACAAACCCTCACTTGCGATCTCGCCCGTCTTTTATTGTTTTTCAAAGCTCAATCTGACCGTCCCAGCTCACTTTGTGACTAAAACAACCCCAAAAGTGCCCTTTCCCGTTCCAACAAAAAGATACTCCATATAGACCCCAACGAGTACTACGGCGGCCCAGACGCCGCCCTGACTCTCCAAGAGGTCTCCCGCTGGGTAGATGACCACGCCTCCTCGTCAGACAAGGACGGCATCTTCAAATCAGCGTCCATCACAAAGGCCCTGGAGTCGGAAAGCTTGCCCTCTCGAGCCTATTCCCTCTCCCTCTCGCCGCAGATTATCCATGCCCGCTCTGCGCTGCTCTCGCAGCTCGTGTCGTCGCGTGCCTACCGCCAGCTCGAGTTCCTCGCCGTCGGATCCTTCTTCGTCTATGAGCCTGCCACAGAGGATGGTGCAAAGCCTTCGCTGACGCGGATCCCCTCGACGAGAGAGGCCGTGTTCTCAAGCTCGGCGATTAAACCAAAGGCGAAACGGGCTTTGATGAAGTTTCTCAAGTTCGTGCTAGACTATGAGGGTGAGCCGCAGTCTGAGCTGTGGAAGGCAAGGGCGGACGAGCCGTTGGAGAGCTTTCTAGAGTCCGAGTTTAAACTTGACCCGGCGCTCCGTGCTTACGTCGTCACCCTCACTCTGAGCCAGAGCGGGAAGATCTCGGTCAAGGACGGCTTGTCCATCATCCACCGCCACCTCAATTCTATGGGCGTGTATGGACCAGGCTTCGCAGCTCTTTACCCCAAATGGGGTGGAACGTCGGAGATTGCCCAGGTCGCTTGCCGCGCTGGTGCTGTCGGCGGCGGAGTCTACATGCTCGGCATGGGCATCAAGGCGCTGCGACAAGTGCCTGCAGAGGAGAACGATGGCGCGACCCTCGAGATCGAACTTGACAATGACATCACTGTCAAAGCTCGCTCGCTAGTCCGTGGTTGCGGTGAGATACCCGCTGCCGAAACGACTGTAAGCAGGTTGGTCACCATCATCGGTTCGCCCCTCAGATCGCTCTTCGAGGCCGTGGTGGAGGGATCGCCCACGCCTACCGTCGCTGCCATCGCTTTCCCGAAGGGATCGTTAGATGGTGCCTCGGACCATCCAATCTACGTCATGGCTCACTCCAGTGATACTGGGGAGTGTCCGTCCGGACAAAGTAAGTTTTATCTCTTTTCCTCTTTTAAATTCTTTTCTCCCCGAAGTGTTATGATGATCCTCTTTTTTGAATACTTATCTACGTTGTCTGAGCTTCGCGTTGAAGACAACATCCTCTGACAACCTGACGCACTTGAATTTACCTTATTCCCATTATTTCTGCTTCACTATCATGTGGAATATAAGCTAACCCAAAGCTTCCAAGGCATCCTCCATCTCACCACCCTCTCCTCTCCCAACTCTCAACAAATACTCTCCAACGCTCTCTCGGCCGTCATCATAGCCCTCTCTACAGAAGGAGAAGAGTCCCCAAAGCGTCTCTACCAGTTCTCCTACGAACAATCCCAAAGTTCCCCAGACCTCTCCATCGACGGAACTATTATCACCCTTCCCTCTCCTCGTCTAGATCTTGCGTTTGATGACGCGTCTCTCGATCCTATCCGTGAGACGTGGGACGCGGTGAATCGGATTTTGGGCGAGGGTGATCCGGGTGATTACATGATGTTCGAGGATAGGGAGGGCGTGGATGAGGATGATGAGTTGTAACGCTCGTATATTTTTCGTAGCTGTAATTTGAGGGTGGCCGGTGGTTCTGTTTCATGCACAAGGTTAAATAAGGAATATGAAAGTATAGCAAACATCCAATGTCATTACGCGAATCAATGAGAATGAATGAGACCGTGTTGGTTGATGAAAAGTAAAAAACCACTTTATTGAAGCTCCCGATTTTTCGATCATTTAGTCCCTCTCATAACAACCTTGATTCCCTTACTTGACAACGCCAAACTTGATTCCACCATGCTCAAATCGCAGAGATTCGATGGAACTAAACAAATGAAAAAAACGAAAAACCGTCTAACCATCTTGAAACCTTTGCCCGAAATGATCCTCACTCTCTTTTCCTCTATGTCCATAAGACCTCTCTCAGTATTCCCGAACGCCCTTGAACAAACCAAATGCTGAAAAGTCGAATCAAGCTCTTAACTCCCAGAACAACTTGAAAAAGACGAAACTTAAAGGAAAGGAAAAAGCATCTCTCCTCAAGAAGAAGAAACACCTCTTCAGATATCATCTCCCTCCTCAACCGCCTTCCCCTCCTCTGTAACCTCGACAACACGCTCCACACCCTCGTCCTCCACCTCTGCCTCCGCCTCCGCCTCAACCACATCAACCCCAATCTCGATCCTCCCAAACGGCTTCCAAGGCAAACCCCCCTGCCTCACAGCAACCTCCCTCCTTGTCGCCAAAACCAACGCATGATAAAACGCCTGCGCAGCCACCTCCCGCCCATGCGTGGCTGGATCGGCCAACTCGTCGAAATCAACCCACTTGCGTCCATCCTTGGCCTCATCCGCGCGACCGGACACTTTAGCGCGCTCGACGACGTAGGCTAGGAAATCTTGGCCGGCCTGGTCGACGGCCCTTTGCATCTGCGACTCGTTCATGGACGCGAACTCTCCAAAGGACGACGAGTCGCGGCCGCTGTGAGCGTAACTGTTGTCATGATGGCCGGGGAAGAAGTCGTCCGAGGGGAGGTGGGGATCACTGAAACGCTCAATGTCCGGGAGGACGCTGCCGCGACCTACGAGCGGACTGGCGCTGACTTGGCGGCTTCGTCGACCTGTACCTGTGATGCTCTTTACGGCCGAACCAGGAACGGAACCCTGACGGGACCAGGGCACGCCAGAGGATGAACGGGGCTCGGCGAGACTCTGGGCTCGTCTACCGACTTCCGAAAGAATGTCGTCGCCCTCGATGGGCAGTTGGATCTCGTCGCCGAGGGGTTGCTCCTGATAAGTATCCGTCTTCTGCTTCACCCTACGACCTTGCTCCTCTCCCTCTTCAGAAAATGCCTCCGATGCAGATCGTCGACGACGACGGCCATTTTCCGATTCGGGCGAACGAAGGTGCTCAATGCTCGGAACGCCAAGCACGGTATTTCGCAATGCGTCTCCAGCAAAGAACTCGGCCAGAGGATGCTGAATACCAACAACTCCTAGATCCCGTCCGACATCGGCAATGCCAGTTCCAAACGTGACAAGGAAGGCATTCTTCTTCGCTCGTACTGTATGCGTCTCTTGAGTCCGATAAGCTTCAGCTTCAGCCCTCTCGACATAGGTGGATCCCGTGCTTTTGTACTCAGCATCGTCGATCTGGGGAGGCGCTACATCGATGAAGGCACGTGCACTAGGAAGGCGACGACGTGGGCCTCGGGGGGCAGCTGATTTGCGCGGGCTGGAAGCTTTTGCGGCCTGTTGTTCCTTCTCTCGCTGCTCTTGGGTTTGAAAAGCTTCCGCGTCGGGAAGCGGCTCCTCAACCATCATGGCATCCAAATCAGTAGGGACTTTCGTGGCTTGTGCACGAGGCTCTGGCTCTTCGAACCGAATCTGCATCTCCTCTAGCTCGGCGATACCAGGAATTTGAGAATCCGGACCAGGCAGCGGTGGAAGCTCGAATTCGCCGAGCTCGATTAGATTGCCCTCAGCATCAACCTCAAACCCGAACCCTCCCTCAACGGGAAGCAATGCGTCGTCATCACTAAAAGGGACACCACCTGCTCCAACTAGCGATTTCGGGCCGGCACTGCCTGGTCCCTTCAAAGGCGTGGGAAGCTGCTGGCTGCTCTCGCCAGACTGAAGAAAATCGAATCGGAGGGAATCAGACGACAAAGAGCCAAAACTCCCATCGAGGGGACTGAGTTGCGAAAACATCATGGACGAGCCTTGGCTCCCGCTTCCGTGCGTACGAAGGAAGTCCTCTAGGTCATCAAAGCCCGTAAGATCGATCTCAGGCATTGTAATGTTGTCAATGTTGAAGTGGGGATCATCAGGAATGATATTCTGGCCACGTCTAGTATGTTGGAATGCAGTTAGCCACAGGCTCACACAGTCTCATGAATGGATCTGGAAAGGGGAGGAATTACTTACGGTGCCTTCCCTGCCTTGGGATCCGTCGCATTCATCGCCCCGATCTGGATATCCAGCGCCGCCATAGCAGAGCGCATCTTCACGGCATCGTCAAGTACATATCGGCACTGCTCAGAGTACACGCGCGAAACTCCGTACAAGAGGTTGCTTTGGAGACGGAGCGCGAGAGGGGCGCCGGGGTCGATGATCTTTTCGCATGCCTTCTTGATCTGGACGGCTTTGATGGCCTTGCGGGAGATACCTTTGGTTACGCCGCGGCGGCCGATAGTCGCGACGCACCTAGAATGAGGGGGAAATGGGTTAGCTAGCTATTCTATCCTAGACTCTCTTCGTAGGGATGGGAGGATACCAGATGGTGGCTACGCCATATTGGCGGCTGGTTAGAACTGAGCAGAGATGTCAGCAGATTGGTCTCCTAAACGCTGGTGAACGCGACAGGATCTGGGGCATGCGAACTATCGTGGCTGTAGAACATGGTACGCTAGCGCGAATGTCGATATCTTATGGCTTCTCCCTCGCACTACTCTAAGGATAGACTGGCCAGAGACCAGAGGTCGAACTCGGCGGGCTTTCGTAGAGGTTTTATCGAGCGTAGTGAATTCTCTGTCGAATAGAATTGACTGCGACTATGGCAACTTGAATCTCGAGCCTCATACGGGTCGGACAATGTGTTGGGGGAAAGGAATTGTGGTGAAGAGCGCCTCGTCTGCCGAAATGAGGAGTCGATGGTGGTGTTTTGACAGCGGCCATCTCGAGTTCGCGTCTACCATGATGCGACGGAAGATGGAAACGGAGGAAGGAAGCTCTCTCTAGGTGCCATGATGAACGGAAGGAGCGGTCGTGGTGACCACTCCATCGCTCCTTCCGTCCCGTTTACGCCGACTCTAATACCAAGACATGCAAGACACGAAGGGTGAAGTTATGGTCAGAACACATTAGCCCCTAGTGTCAAAGTCCAAGAATGCTTATTATGACCCAGTCACAGATCAATGGCTTCACCATCCAGCAGCATAAACGTATAGCAATTACTATCATCTATGAACACCCTAAACACCAAACCTGGTTGGTCTACCCCAAGACGCAGCACAAAAGCCTCCCTATATCCTATATACCAATTCCGTCCATAAATTAGTTAATACTCCACAACCTTCAACATCTGCCTCACTCTCTCAGGGAGCTCGTCCGGCGCGATGATGCCCAGCTGTAAACAATCTCCCAAGAAGAAAAAAGCCCGGTCCTGCGCGTAACCAATATAATCGAACTCGTCATCCTCGCCACCCTCCGCAGAATGCGCACTTGCCCTATCATCTTCGGAGACACCGTCGGCGGCCGCCTCCTTCTCCGCTTCACCGTCGGTGGCTGCTGGCATCTTGGCCTGGATAATACCCCAAGCTACCCACTGCGCGCTATTTGCCGCACGCCACAGCCTCGTCTCATCCATCAGTTCCCCGACCCTCTTCTCGCTCTGTTCCTCCCGCACCTTCTCCTCTTCCCTCCAGTTGCTCTGGGCTGAGGCTCGCGCGTCCAGCATGAAATCCACGATGGAGCTCACCGAGACGGAGTGTGGTAGAGAGGGCGTGTCCAAGGGCGTGAGTCTCGGCGTCGATCCGGCGTGGGGAAATTGCGGCCGATGGTCGACGTAGGCTTTGACGAAACGGTGCTGCTCTTCGGGCGTGGGATACTTGGTCGAGTCGCAGGCGAAGGGGGCGGTGGCGTCGTGATAGTTGTAGCACCACTCGGTAAAATGATTGGCAAACTCGAGACCTACGACATTTGCGGCGGCATACTCGAAGTCGATTACAATGAGCTGTTTGTGTTTGTTGGCTGGTTGTAAGAGGGGTGATTTCTGATCGTCCGGTCGTACTCGGAGGATATTTCCATATTGAGTCTCCTCCAGTTAGCAGAGTTCCATGTAAGGGGGGGAAGAGGGTGAAAGAAAAGAAAGAAGAAAAGAGCATACATCATTGTGCGCAAACACGAGCCGCGACCTCAAAGTGTTACCCTCTCCGTAAAACTTATCGACATGCTCGCGATACTTTTCAACAATGGCCTTGAACTGCGCCCACGGGACACCGCATACACGGCCCCTGATCCGCCAATTCTCGACCGGTCGTTCGGGGCCCGCATCCTCGGACTCGAATAGCGTATCAAGAGCAGAAGCCCGCTTTCCCACACTGTCCAGCCAACGGTCCCAGTTGCGCCATACGTTGGGACCGGAATCTCTTTCAGTATCTAACAGCTCAACTCCATCATGCAGCTCCCTCATACGCTTCGCAATCTGCTTCGACGTTTCGGGGTCGCGCAGGTCCCTGGGGTGGAGTGCGGAAGCGTTAAAGTATTCCTCAAATCGCCCATTGGTAAAGGTGCCGAGAAGCCGGGGCCCAATCTTCTTCTTCGCTAAACGGCGCAGGACGGCCAGCTCGGTTTCGCGGTCGATCAACTGGTCAACCTGGGGGCCGTATATGCGAAGGAGCAGCTTCTTGGGACCCTTCTTCCCCGTGGGTGTCCCCGCCCCATTCGTTCCATTCGTTCCGTTCGTAGGCAGTAGATCCAAGTCCTTGGGAGGCGATACCACGTACACGGCGTTCGTTAAAGCCCCACTTAAGCGCTCTACGGAAATTTTCTCTCCGCCGTCGAGAGGTACAGACCTCCAGCCCTTGAGTCGGAGAGTATGGGCAAGACGAATCACCTCGTTCTTGAAGGTGATCCAGGCTTGGCGTCCCCTACTCTCTCGTTTACTCAGAGTCGTCGACGACGACAGGTCTTCGGTACTCGCGGATCCGCCACTATAACTCATCGTTTTGGAATTGTCCAGGACAGCCTCGCAAGCGGGCACAACGACGTCTAAATCGAACTGGTCCGTATCGGACGAAGGTACTCGTTGGAGTTGCAGTGTCTTGGTTTGGCCCCTCCTAAGTCTTGGGGATGACCTCGTCCTATGCATGTGGCCCATGGAAGGAATCGATGAAAGACCCATAGCAGCCACGCTATCCTCTAATATACGCTGGAGACGGTCGAAAGACACCTCACTGGATTGAGAATCGATCGAATCGGCCCTATCACGATAGGAAATTGGCTGCACATCTTGCCCATTCGTCTGCTCGTCCACGGACTGGATGTTACGCAGAGGGTGTTTGCCGTCCTTCCTTCGGGAAATCTTCTTCCGCTCATGTTCAAGCCATTCCCCCACTCGCGCTACCAGCAATTCCCCAGCGTAATTGTTTCGGGGCCGGCCGTTAGATCCCTGCGACTGGAGGTTAGGCGTTGAGGCCGAATGTGGTACGGTTGTCGTGGCGGCATTGGGGCTCGCTGGGGAAGCGCCGTTCGAGTTGGCTACGGAGTTGAGAGGAACTGGGGACGAAGAGAGTACGGCAGTGAGCGATTCAGCACCATCGCCTTGCCGTGAGGGCAGATCTTCCGCAGCTGACGGGCCCAAGATGGGAGACTTGGATGAATTAGTTGGGATAGGCATTCGGCCGCTTAGTCTCTTTGAACCTAAGCCGGCATTGAATTGCTTTCGCGGAGAATTGTCGTCGATGGGGGCAACTTCAGGATCCGTGTCGGCAATGTGTACTGCTATAATAGCAAAATTGTAAGTCAGGGTCTAGTCCTAGTCTATAAGCGTATGTGGTCGTGTGACTTGAGCTAAAAGGGCCGGGTTTCATCTCGACAGCGAAGCCGCCTCTTATACGGGATACGGCAGGTATATATATATGGGAAAAGGTACATCTCAGGTGTCTTTGTCTGGGCCATGAAAGCAAAGGGCAAAGGGTGGCACAATCCGAACTTGGAAACTCAAGCCAGGCAGGGGCGTTCAAGTATCCCGCAAAGTACACAATTAGGATCTTAAAGATGTCGCCTCAGACTCGTACCAGGTCTTCAGTCACTCGACTTTACACTTAATCACCAATGCGGCAGGACAGCACGCAGTCAGAGAACGTTGCACCACTTGTTACATCGCCGAAAACAAAGAGGTCAAGAAGCCCTCCAACATTGATGAGAAATACTCTTCTGGCTGCCGGAGAAGATGAGAGAGCATCATAAAGGCGAAGTGAAAGAAGCCAAACATTTCTGTTGGAGGGGGAAAGGCGAGCCGAGGGAGTGTCAGATAGAAGAGGGGGGTAGTGGGATGAGCCTACCTTTGGGAGTAGAGGCGCTGGATTTGAGAACCTTGCTCCCATCGTTGGTTGTCGAAGTTTTAAGAACGGGCTTCAGCCCACTAACCCGTTCTCCGGGAATAATCGAGGTCATGGTGTGACTTCTACTAAGCGAATGAGGATGAGAGTGTCTGCTTGTCCACACACCCTCTGCGCAATGGGCGAGCGCTCTGGGTCGACAAAGGTGTTAAAGGAGAGCAAGATAAAGGCCGGCCGGTAGTGGTTTGAGTAGGACAACAAGTGGGGGACGAGTTCCGATAGGCGAAGCTGATGGTGTCCTGGGGGCGGGACGAAGGAGTATTACGACTGGATAAGATAGTTGAGGGCAGATATTCGTGAGAGAGGGTTTGGCAATGGCTGTTAGGAGGGGCCGAGGGATTGTTTCTGGCCGTGGTGTCGCGTGGGCATTCCTCTCAGGTAGTATCGGGAAGAAAGGGAATGGTGGGCGCTTGCAGGTCGATTAGGGTCTGTGGTCGGTCATGGATCCGGGGGCGAGGCCAGTTAAGGGAAATGAAAACTAATGCTGGAAAAGCTGTGGTCAATGTGGTGTCATACCCGAGGGTCTGCTACTCTAGTGTAGTCTCGCAGGAGGAGGGTCCAATTCCAATTTGACGTCGAGGTTAGTTCGGTGGGTAACCGTGGGTTTGGACGAGAAAATAGCGTTTGTCGCGTGTTCCTTCTCAATGATCTACGTGGGCAAAAGAGAGCTAGTGCGGTCTGGGAAGGAGGTGGCACGAAACAATATGGGGTAACGGTCGTGAGCCTAACCAGACAGGATTAGATTGAGTTGATCGAGTCCGGATTGGAGAACCAAGTTGAAGAAGCAGGGGTCATGTGAAGAGATAATAAGATTGTTCAGGTATTATCGGGATGGCAGGCAGCAGAGTAACCAGAGCCATTGAGAGGGTAGGGCAGGGAGATAAGAAACTAAGGATATTGAGGAATCCAATGATGGAGAGTTGAAGGCTTGAAGTTGTGGAAACTGCGCCAAGAGCCGAGCGATGTCGTAATACACGCGAGTCCACAGACAAAGGTACTTGGCTCGCACCTCCTCCAAAGTACTCTACAGACCCTCATCATGTCGGCGCGCACTTGACCGAGATTTGCATGTGGGAGAGGAGTGGCCAGTCGGTGTCCTTGTACGAAGTACATTGAGCCGTCAATGGTGTGATGGGCGGTGCAGAAAACATCAATTCAATCGTAGAAGTTACACATTGCAAGTTCTTACGGGCAGGATACCCAGATCAGCGGCCCTCAATAATGTAAGTACTCCGTACAGGGTACCGAAGGTTTCTTCAATTCGGCGGGGTCCAATGTCTTCTTCGCTCGATTTTTCTGATTTCTCATCACACCAAGCATGGAACAGACGGGAGAGCGCGGCGTGGCTTCGATTGCCGCTGGGCTCATGATGCCCTCGACTCTGTGACTGGTAAATAAAGAAGAACCCCCAACCTAAACCCATGTTCAGAGAGAGTGGGATGGGCTGGCGTTTTGGATCGGTGACGTCGTTGCGTCGATACAATTGTAGCGTACCCAGACCCTGGTGGGGGCGCGTGCCTGCTGAAGACAAAAGGGTGCATTCGATGTACTTGTACTTTGTACCTCGAGACTTTCATCAGCCAAGAATATTCTGCGGATTTGTTTCGGTTCTGCAGTCCAACATGGATCAACGCAAAAGTTCGATTTGAAGAGCTGTCTGCACTTCGTAATTTATATTAAAATGCTCGGTGCCTCACCGATCCAGCAACTGCATCCGCTCGGTCACCCTTTTCAGCCTTCGTACGGTGTCGTTGAGGCGGTCTAGCCATTCCCCTGCATGTCAAGAGATAGTCTTGTGCTGTTTCCATTCAAGCCCCCCAGAATCTCAAATTCGTCACCAACAATTTTTGTCAAGGTGCATACGGGACAGGTCACACGGGAATCGCCTCAAGACCTCGTAAACTAAACCATGCAGTTTATTCTCTTCAGATCTTTGGGAAAAAAATCATTCTCACTACAGCTAATGTGGCGAAAATCTGCGCCCCAACGAACGTGTCCTCAACTCTATCTCACCCGCGCCAAGGAATACGGTTCCAGAAAGACCACTCCTAGCCGAGGATATCGGCCTATTCCATTCTATTCCAAAAAAATCCGGGTATCTTATACAAGAAGGTGATGTGAATCTGGCTCTAATAGTAGAAATCTTCAAGCCTACCAATCACAAATGCCCCCCGAATCCTTCCTGCTCCATGGCCCATTGCACCGCCGCCTTCACATCGTCAACGATAATCTTCGGCTCAAACTCCACAGGGCCCGTCGTCTCCCCTGGAGGCGGTCTCCACACTCCCGTTCTAACCAGTACCGACTGCCAAATCGTCCCCCGAGGGCTCTGAAACTCGTTGGCGCCGCGAATATCGCTGGCGGGGTTATCTCCCACCATGTACACGTGACAGAGATCCGGGAGCTCGTCCTTGGCGTGGCCGCCGCGGATGAGTACCTCTCGCCGGTGATCGTTGAGCACCCGTTCGGCAAACTCGTACGTCTCGCGGAAGGGCTTCCCGATGGTCTTACTCCGGAGAACGTCACCGCCTGTGATCTTGGACCAGATACCTGCCAGCGCGGCTTGGAATGCTCCTTGGCCGAGACGAGGTTGGTGGTAAGTCGTGGCCCAGAAGACGTCCGGGTTGGAAAAGTAGAGGCCGGGCTGTTCGTGGTTTCGCCAATCCTCCGGCGTCGGTTTACCGTTTTTGTGGGAGAGCGAGCCTAGGACGCCGTTGTCGGACATCATCAAGTCCATGATGATCTGCGAATCTAGCGCCCAGTCCCGAGGGTCGTTGAAGACGAATATGGCATCTATCTTGAGAGCATCCTGAATGTTCATTTTCCCATCCCACACGGGCTTGGGCAGCGGTCGTGCGGTATCCTTGTAGACTTGTTCCATCAAAGGATCGAATGGCCATATCTCCGGCTGGGCTTGTAAAATATCGGCGGGAATGACTACGTTCTTGAAGCCGTACCTATTCGCGGAAAATGTCCGCGTTAGTAAACCACCTAGAGAGCAGAGGATTTTTGTAGATATGCACAATCGCTTACGTCTCAGCAATTTCCCTGCATTTCGAAGCATCCGAACCCGTCACCAGAATGGTGCCATTGCGGAGCTTCTTGCCCTGGGCAGCTAGTTGCTGAAACGGTGTATGGGATTGAACAAAGTTGTCCGTCGTAAGCGGCACTCCGAGCTTCTCGCTGAGATCGGCGACTCGCTCGGATTCATGCTTGCCACCGCCGTTGGTAAGGAGGATGAAGGGAATGTTATTATCGTGGAGGAACTGCAGCGTTTCGCCGGCTCTGGGGATCGGTTTCGCGACGTGGAGGAGGACGCCATCGATGCTGGATTAAGAAAATAATGTAGTTAGTTAACCCTAGTTCACCGTCCAAAGCCATCGCGTGCACTTCGAGTGATTGTATTAACCAATGCAAGATTACATTGCGACGTGGTGATTGGGAAGAAGGAGTCTGAGTGGGGTGGTGGATGGGAGGACTCAAGTGCATACTCGAAAGCAAAGGCAAACTTGGGCGGATGCCCGAGAGGAAATATGCTCGAAGGATTGCTCGTCGACGTATACGGCCTTGTGCTAACGGCAATTGGAGAGCATTGGCCTCTCGATTGCCATTTCGATGCCGACTCGATGGGCAATTGCCGTCTCGTTACTGTCGGACAAGTCGGTAAGCTCCGGGTAGCTACTCCGTGGATACCTCGACCACGGGCGGGGGCGCGTAATAGCGCATGAGCAACGGAAGCTCTCATGTTGACAGCTTCGAATGTGATCCTGATCCTACGGCTGTATTAAGCAATAAGCCATTCCCGGGAGATATATCCAAGAAGAATTGTTGGGGGAGGTTGGGGTTAAGCAAAGAAGAAGGATTGGGTGATGATCAACGAGATCGAGGTTTATCGGTTGATAATAAAGAGCGAGCTTGACTCAGAGGGCGATGACGTTGTGAGTGACAGGAGTTACCAGGGGTTTGCTTGGCCACTAAGTCCGGTTAGACTGAGTGTAGTGGAAGACGGTAGAAGGCGTTTCGTCCAATCCTTGACTCACGGTGTTTAAGAGAAGAACGAACACGTTGAATTGTTTCGAACGTTATAAATAAACTAGCAAACTGGCCATTGATGCCTCACGAAGTCCAGCCGGTAAAGTTCAAGTCACCAGACGTTATTCTCATCTAGCAAGGGGCGGAGAAGTGTAAATCTACTAGTTCTATTGTACATAGATACAGTACAGAGTGTGCAGTAATAGCATACACACAACCAAATGGAGTGGAAAGGTCTGCCCCTCCGTCTCTATATGCAACATCTTACAACAACACCTTTTAATCCTTCAACACTACAGCCATATGCTCCTCGCTTAGAACTTCTTCTGTCCCCTCCAGTCCTTCATGTGGTCAAGAATAACCTGTGCCCCTGCCGCCGGCGAATGCTGCCTGCCAAGCGCCTCAACGAAGTCGCCCTCGGGATCCATCAGGTAAAAGTACACGCTGTGGTCCACCAAGTAGTCCTGGCCCGGCTTGACGTTCGGCGGCGTGCTAAAGTATACCCTGTAGGCCTTGCACATGCTCTTGATCTGGTCGTAGGTGCCCGTCAATCCCACGATCTTGGGGTGGAACTCGACAAGATATTCCTTGAGCTCCTTGGGTCCGTCGCGGGCAGGGTCGCAGGTGACGAAGACGGGGATTAAGGAATCGGGGCGGTTCTCGTAGACGATGTCGAGCATCTCGGCCATCTTGTCGAGCTCTTCGGGGCAGATGTCAGGGCAGTGGGTAAAGCCGAAGTATACCTACCGGGTGACAGCCATTAGCGTAAAGACCTAACATCCGGGCTGCTTCGGATCTCGCGTATCATAGATTTTTTTCTTACCAGAGAATACCGCCCCTTCAGATCCTCATGCGTGAACTTGTTCCCGTGCTGGTCTAAGAGCTCAAAAGGCCCACCGACGAGGGGCTTGCCCGCTCCCTTGGTGGCCTCTGCGACACGCTTGCGCTGCATGCGCTGCTTCTCAAACTCAAAGTACCATACTAGACCGCCGCACGTAATGACAAAAAGAATGCCGGCTTTCCAAGAAAAGGGCTATACGTGCGGATGATGTTAGCAGCTATATCTTTTCCCCTGCTTTTCTAAATCCTCCCAGACTGCCGGTCGCAACATACACCAATGGAATATCGGCTCTTCGCTTCCTCGACAGTCTTGTATGTCCTCTTTTGCGTTAATTGGGGCTGCCTAAACTGTTGTCGGAGTATTTGGCTGGCATTGGCGACAGGTCGAGCTTGGGTGGATCGGAGAGCTCTCGTCGAGATGCTCCGTGCTTGGCAACAAGTCGACTGACGAGCAACAGACTGGAGAGATCTCCAGCCGGCTGCTACTGCGCGTGTCATGGTTGGATAAGTCTGGCCGAGTGTTCAACGAAGAATTGGGCCGGGTTTGTTGTCAGTCGTTCGTCGAAGATGGTGTGGCTTCAGGGAAAGCTTTCTTCAATTTCAGCATCAGGCGATTTGAAATTCATTCATCCCACTTCCGGTCGGTGTGGGGAAACTTCGGCTAAAACACAGGCTCACCGAGATCACTTTCACTCACGACCAGAGGCTACAGCACTCAAGTTGAGAACTCATACTGAGCCAGACATTCAGATATTAAGCAAAAAGTCAACGGTTCAGATATTAAATTTTGCTATATTGATACATTAACGCCCATCTAATCCTAGTTCATTCTCTCAGAAATTTTCACTCTTATTCTTTTGGGGGAAGGCTCATTGGCCTTTGATGCTTCACAGACAGGTTCTTACCCCATTACCAGTGTGAGGATCAATGAAAACCAACACATCGCAAACGCAAACTCGTGCATGAGTACACGACCATGGAGCAAACAAACACTCCACAGAGCCAAGGCACAGATGAGCCGAGGTTCGAAGTGATCCAAGACGGTGATGGGGATATGGCCAGCAGAAACACAGATTTCAGCCATCCAGAACCCATGTGGATTCCTCCCACTTCTACACCTGGTCGATCTCCCATTTCTATGGACAAGATTGACAACCCATCTACCGAAACAACTCATTCGAATACTTCCAAACCTACGATGCCTAAAAAGAAGGGTCTCGCGTCAACCGTCAAAAAGGCTCCCAAACGCGCCAAGGGCAAGGGAGGCCAGGCGGCGGGCAGCGGCGCGACCAAGGGAAAGTCCAGTACCCCCAGTGGCGGCGCAGCCGAATCCGAAGCAGAGTCCGACAACGGCCCGTACTGCATTTGCCGCGGGCCAGACGACCACCGGTGGATGATTTTCTGCGACAAATGCGAAGACTGGTTCCACGGCGAGTGTGTCAATCTCGACAAGGAAACGGGCGAGACCCTGGTCGAGAGGTTCATCTGTCCCAACTGCACAGACGGAAGGCGCTATGTGACGCGCTACAAAAAGACCTGCTCGCTCGAAGGGTGTAGGAAACCGGCGCGCATCTACGGCATCAAGGACACGAGCGTTTTCTGCTCCGATGAGCACGGTCATCAGTGGTGGGAGAGGATGGTGTCCTCGCTCCCGAAGAAGATTAACGTTCCCCCGTCGGCGGGCGATACGCTCACGCAGGAAGACTTTATGGCGCTGTTAAGTAGCGCTCTCGGAGGCGTGGACGAGACCACTGGAACGTGGAAACTTTCCAAGCACCCTTTCATCCGCGAACCCGGTCTCGTGCGGCAATTCACCGGCAAACCCGACGAAGAGGTCCGAAATGGTGACATCCCCCTCAGGTATCTTAGCGAAGAGGAGGAGCTCTTCGTACACGCCTCCGCCACGGACCGAGTCATGCTCGCCGAGGAAATCATCCAGTGTAAGAAGATGCTCCAATTACTAGACATGGCCAACGACAGGCACAAGGCCGCCGTCTCGGCCGGACGCTTCACGCCCGACGTATGTGGCTACGATAACCGCCTCGATACGGTGGCGGTCCAGGCCCCCTTTGCGGGCTTTTGCAAGACCCAGGAGGGAAAGGCCATTTTCAAGGCCGGACAATTGGGGGACCCGACTGGCGCCGACGACGAGGACTCTATTGTGAGGGGTATGTGTGAGAAGAAGCGCTGCAAGCCGCACCACGGATGGTATAATATGCTATCAAGGACGGTACGGGCGCAGATCAAGAACTTGGCGGCGCAGGCGAAGGAGAAGCTAGATGAGGAGAATGATATCAAAGAGGCGGCTGAGGAGAGATTCTTTCGGAAGAAGGCGGAGAAAAATTGGGTTGAAGTGATTGAGGACGAGGAAGAGCTGGAGGATCCTCATCCCGTTTCAGATTCGGCACGGATGGACGTGGATATGGAGTAGTTGGCAGCGTTTGAACTTTTTTTCTTCTCTTTTGTTTGTGTACCTTCTTCAGAATGGAGCGATGGTTTGTGCATAACGTTGACGAATGGTCACTTTCGTAAGGTATATGGCAGGCAGGGTGGGATACGGAGTTAAGCGTGTACTAAAAGCATAACATCCTCGGTATGGTTCATGACAGATGAAGCGTGTTGACGCCTATCTCTTGGTGAATAAAATGTATCTCGAAGAAGCGAATGAATGTACTCGGCGCCCCGAATGCAGTTTTGCGCCTTCTATTTATGCATCCAACTTCAACCGCTCCAGCATTTCATCAATCTTCCTGTGTAGGATCTGATGGTTTATAGCATCTAAATCGAACTCATCCTCAACTACCTGGCCGTCCAACGTGCGCATGGGTCCGACTTCAGCTTCGGTTCCCTCTCTAGGCGCGCTTGCCACCACTTGTTCTCCCTCTTTATCCGTCAGGTTCACCTTGTTTTCCATCGCCTCCGCCAACGACGCATCAACATCGCCCTGCTCCTCCATGATATCTTCCAGACCCGCGTCCTCGAAACGCAACCTGAAGCGCTCATCTAGGTAGTATCGAATATCGTCCAGCAACTCGATAGTATCCGTCTCCTCACGCTTCTCAATACGCTCGGCGCTCTGACGGATTAAGTCCGCAAACTCTTCGTCGTCGATGTAATCTTCCAGTCGATATGCCAAATAGCGAGCCGCGAATTCCTCCAACCTCTGAACGCGCAGGTCCCAGGCGGCGTGAATGACGTCGTAGATGTTGATCGGTTCCGCTTCCACTAGCGCTGCCGGTCCGCCCGCCGGCCCGGGAGCGTGCGTGCGGTCGACAAGAACGTTGGAGTTGCCACTACCAAGGGCGCTGATGATTGTAGCAGCCTTATTCTTGAGCTTTTCGAGGAAGAGCATGTCTGCTGTGTAGAGGAGGTCGAGGGCGAGCTCGAGAGGGCAGTTCATTTTTTCCGTGTAAATAAAGGAGAGGATAATCTCCAAAACCTCAGGAACGCAGTCTATGGTGATGACGTGGAGGTTCTCGGACTCTTGGGCCTCGAGGAATTCGCTGGAAAACATGGTTTCGAAATACAGACTTCGGATGAGCATGGCTTTGTGGGCCGGGTAGAGAACGACCTTCCGGGGCCTGGAATCTTTCGCGCCGGACATATTGGACACGGGTCCGACAGGGATAGAGTTGGATTCTTGGGCAACCGCCTGCTCCGCTGATCCGTCCTCCTCGGCCTCGGGCTCTTCTTCGTATGCTGCTAATAAGCAATCCGCGAAAATAGAATTGCTCCGCGGCCATTGAACTTTAGTCAGATCCTCCTCGTTGATAACCATTCTGTGGCCTAATATGGAAGTATCGAAGAATTTTTGAATTTGTTCCTGCGCTCTATTGACCTCATCTTGATACCTTTGCCGCACCAGCCGCCGGTCATTCATGGCCAAGATGGTCTCCCATAGCTGATCGATCTCGAGATCTTTGGTGATCTTGAGGATACCTCTGAGCACCTCTTCTTCTGTGCTCTCGCTATTGGTTGTGACCAAATCCCTAGGAACTTCTTGGAGGTAAAGATACTGAAGCACAATCCGGAAAGATTCAATGGGAATCGAAGGTTCGATCTTCCAAGTTTCCGTAGCCGGGAACACGGAGAGTTTTCTCTCAAAGTACGGGCTTCTGGAGGATAATAGGAACTTATGAAGTCCAAAGAACTGGCCATTGGATGTGACCACGATATCCGAGGTTCTTGGAACGTCTCGGGAAAGTAAGGAATTGAGATGCGCCGACCAGGTTTGGAGGGGGTCGGTCGATTTGCTAAAGTCGTATCGAAGTAAGAGGTTCCGGATCTTATCGTTGAGTGCGTTGTAGACGCAACGCTCACCCTGGAAGGTATTGCGCTCAGCCAAAGCACCTAAATCTGTGAGTGAGAACCTTGTACAGACCCAAAGAATGAGATTCAGAGCACACCATACCTGATTCCAAGAGAAGCTCGACTAATTCATAATGTCCACACAGACTCGCCTAGCTTAGGTCAGATTCTCTCATATAAATATGAAATCCCGGGTACAGAGAAGAGAGCCGGGTGACTTACAAGAATTAAGGGAGTGTAATCGAACCGGTCCCTGCCGTTGATATTGACACCCAAAGAGATGAGCTCCTGACAAGTCTTTAAGTCACCCCGTCGACAAGCCTCGATCAGCTCATTGAACTCTTCACTCAGATCCAAGGGGTTCTCATCTCTCAGGAGGCCACTCTGTATCATCTCCTTTTCTTGGTAGAGCTTGAGTTCGAGCTCGTGCTTCCGTAATACCGGCTCGGACCCTTCCTCGAGACCGGCGAATCGTACCTCTTTGTCTTGTAGCCGACTGCCACTCTGACCGCCCCCGCGACCGCCCCCCCGACTACCCCCCCGACCGCCGCTGTGAGTGCCCATGTTGGATAGCAGCCAGTCCGTTCCGCACAGGCCCAAGCGATGAAGATAAGGCAGGATATATATAAAATATACAGATAAACAAGGACGACAGTATATACTAAAATAAAATATGTTAATGTAGGACGCCAATATATTTTAGGGAATTTTTAAAAGATAAAGAGATCCAAGATCTCTCAACTCTCAAGTGGCGATGGATCTGGGTCAATATCGAGCATTATTAATAGCGGAACTTTAATTGTTGTGCAACCAGAACAGTGGACATTTGATACATTGGATTGTGCACCGAATCAATTCAACCAATCAATTTCGACACAACCACGTCGGTGGAATCCGTTGCCGGAGCGGGCCTTATCGATAGCGGCAAAAAGTCGGCATCACGTCCATACTCCCTGGTTGCTGTGACACCGGCAACTTTTGTTTACTCAGCAGGGGTATCGTCTCAAAGATTGGAAGGCAGCGGCATCCGAGGGCAACTTGGGCTTAGTTCAGCTCGGACTTCACTTCATTCACCGTTGCTTGCACACCTTCAAACCTCCGACTCTTGCAATCTCCCCACAACAACACAACAATTCCTTTCTTCATCCTCACAAAGTGGCATCACTTGCCTTTTGAAGTGTGGTGAAGCTAGATTTTGTTGTGTTTTCTTCTTTCTTAACCCTTTCTTCCCTTCTCCTTCGCCTGTTAATTCCATGGGCATTTGCACCTAGTTCAGAATCTTTGTGACCGCATTTCAGACATTGTTCAACATGTCGACTACAACTTCCAGCGAGTACGATGTACTCGAAAAAATTGGTAAGCCCTTTCGTGATTCTAGTTGCTTTCAATGGCACAATAGGACAAACCACCCTTCTTCAATCTTGGTTCTCCAAACCTCTGGTTCTGCTCTAACTGCTGTCACGCTACAGGCCATGGCTCGTTTGGTATTATCCGCCGGGTAAGGAGGAAGTCGGATGGTCTCATCCTCTGCCGAAAGGAAATCAACTACGGCAAAATGTCCCAGAAAGAACGAGAACAGCTACACGCCGAATTCCAATGTCTCTCTAGCCTCCGACACCCCAACATCGTCGCCTACTATCATCGTGAGCACTTGAAAAGCCAGCAAGAGCTCCACCTGTATATGGAATACTGTGGAAGCGGCGACCTAGGCCGGGTGATTAAGGACCTCACGAACAAGGGCCAGAGGGCTACCGAATCTTTCGTGTGGGCCACCTTTTCACAACTCGTCTCGGCTCTGTACCGATGTCACTATGGCGTTGACCCTCCCGAGATTGGGTCCGATATCCTGGGTATCATTTCCGGGGCCCAAAATCAAAAGGCACCAGAAGGTGGTGTTGTGATTATGCATCGTGATTTGAAGCCCGAGAATGGTAAGCACTAACACGGTTCAATTATTATTCTGTGAATTGGTTTTCTTACCTTTTTTTCGTTTTTCCTTAGTCTTCCTCGGCAAGGACAACTCAGTCAAGTTGGGCGATTTCGGCCTGTCCAAGATGATAAAATCACACGACTTCGCCTCAACCTATGTCGGAACCCCCTACTACATGTCTCCTGAGATTTGCGCCGCAGAACGATACACCCTCAAGTCGGACATCTGGTCTTTGGGATGTATCATCTACGAGCTCTGTGCTCGAGAACCGCCTTTCAATGCCAAGACTCATTACCAACTTGTGCAGAAGATCAAGTCGGGAAAGTACCCGGCCCTGCCCGACTGCTACTCCCCCGAGCTTTCTTCCACAATCCGAGAATGCCTCCGGGTCAACCCCGACGAGCGACCTTGTACTTTCGATCTCCTCCAGCTTCCTATCATGAGATTGATGAGAAAGGAGAAGGAGGTGTCTGACATGAATAAGACCCTCAGGGCGCGGGAAGCTGTTCTGGCTGCCAAGGAAGCCGAGCTCGCCCAACAAGCAGCTGCACTTGAGTCTACTAAGTCGCTGATCCGTGACGAGATTGACGCCAACCTCCGGAGGGAATGGGAGGTCAAGGCTCAACTAGAGATCACGAAACACATAAATATAGAGCTAGAAAACCTCCATCGACAATTCGATATCGAAGTTCGCGCCCAAGTAGAGGCCGAATTGAAGAAGAGAGCGGCCACCTCTCTCAGCAGCACAAATCCTACCACACGGTCCGACCTGATGTCCTCACTCAAGTCGACCCAACAGTCATCCTCGTCTATGGCGGCAGCGGATAACAGCGAGTTGGGAGCTACCACAAATACCGAAGTCACGGAGCCAGATGTCCCGAGTTCGCCGCCTAAACGAGTGCTGGGAACGCCCATGCGTAGAGTGCAAACGATGTTTGCTGGCAACGCCGCGACTCCGGGAGACGTAGAGATGTCGGAACCGTCTCCCATGGCAATCTCCTCTCTATCACTGTCACCTCGCCGCAACCCCGCGACGAAGGCCCCTACTCTCGGTGGTGGCATCTTCAAAGCCAATGGCCACCAGCCTAACCCGGATCTCCTCTGGAATGTCCCTCGAGACTGCAAGACGCCTGATTCTGACGATGAGGATCTGATTCCATCCCCCACCAGGAATATCAAGTCTAACAAGAACCCCTTCATGCTCAAGAACCGCCCCATTCTTCCATCGAAGATTTCCAACAAGCCTCTCCCGTTGATTCCTCCTATGCAAATGAGCCCAGAGGGCCCCAAGGGTGGTCTCCAAGACCGCCCCGCATCGCCAACTCGCCGATTGAGTAAGATTCCATCGGCTACATCGCTTGTGCACAGAAACAACGAAGCGGGCTGCCAGCTCGGCCGAAAACCCTCCATCAAGAAGGAGGACCTTCCTCTCGGCAAGATCGCCGCTAAGAACAACATCCGGGGACGAACCTTGGTTGAGCTTCAGCAGGCCCGCGCCGGTGGCCGACCTCTTTCGGCCGTGATCGCTCCTGGTGCCGAGAATGTTAGCCCCAAGAAGGCGTCCAAGGACAAGCTAGTCGTGAGGAGGGCTAGCGACACCATTCCTGGCTGCGTTGCTGTCTGGGATCCCGAACGAGATGAGATGCCGAGTCCGTTTTTGGTGAGGACCAAGCCGCGGGGCCGAGTTTAGAATACCCACCCGCTTGCTACACAGGCTGGTTTCGAGTCTCCATTGTAATGGTGGACCGTGGAGGGCTGGGAGGCTGGGGTATGCTCTGTCCGATGAGCTGCCTATAGTGGATCTTTTTGGTAAAGATCAGGAGCGACTTTCATCGGAAAATTCTGCGAGGCACACTTTTGCCTATCCATTCTTTTTTTCCAAAAACAAAAACAACCATTTCCTTTGTCATATCCATGAAACATGGTGGATTGAGCATACGACGATTGGGGGCAGGAGAACCGGCGGAACGATGGAAGGTCTGGCAAAACACTAAGTCGCCTCTCTACGGAAAGAGCAAGATGAAGGCTAGGAACGGGTTGAGACCCTCGACCTCATACGATATATATACCTCCCATGAGCACGACTCTATGACGTGGAAGCGGACAGGACTCCTTCCTTTCAACGGTGGGCCGGTCTGGGGTGGTCTTACGGGGAGGAAGCGGTCTCCGGTCATGAACCATGAACACTGGCCAAGGCATGGAGAGAAGGGTGACGAACTACAGGAGTAATGGGATGGGCGATTTAAGAGATGGTAAATGAGGGTGTATGGGTGTTTGACTTTCTGTATAAAGTACGAGCGAACGCATCACTGTGGCGTTTGGCGAATGGGGCCTCCACGCTTCTGGATCGGAACTGTTTATAGTTCCGCATCTCATCATTCTTCTTCGAGATCCGAGGCCTGGGCCGTTCCGCTCTGTGCGGCCCCAAGCCTTCGGATCACATTCATTGTTTGATTTTTGAATTTTTTGGCACTTTTGTTTGGGAAATTGTTTGGGCTTTTGGAGCAACCAATTCTTTGTCGATACTTGTTGATATATGTGCATTGTGGTCTGCTCACCGGCATTCCCGTGAATATAAAAATTATACCCGTTCATGTTTTGTGCATCCTCCTGTTATCAAAAGCGTTGGTTTTCTGATCTTGATGCTGTCATTGTCTCAGATGTCGGAAGGGCAGATGTCTCGTCGAGCCGAGACCCGGACCCGTCACAACCGTTGCCAAGTTATTGTCATCCACGCTACGACTACGAAGTGCATTCGACAGCAAAAGCAAAGAGCTGTGACAGAAGAAATGACACGCAGTCAGACAGGAGAAGTCTTCACTTCAATGCTTGGACGCTACTGTGCTCCCGGCCAAATCGGGGCAAGAATGTCTCGGTGTGAAGCCCCAAGTGGGGACCGCCCTCATGGCGACGTCCGAGATCCCAAACGCCCGATGATGCCGCCTTCGCGGCTGACGCGCATCGTTGTTACAAAAGGGAGGGCGGGGACGGAGGATCTTCTCCTACGGCGGGATGATGAGCTGCTTACTGAGAGGGAGTATTCGGTGGGAATCGGGAAACCTTGCTTTTTTTCTTTCTTTCTTGTCTAGTTGTCTAGTTCATTTCCATGTCATTTGGTGGGAAAGGCGCGGTCATCACAGGCTCTTTGTTTCGTCTGGTGTCAAGCTTACGGGGTCGATGCACAAGGTCACCCAGGCCATGGAGAAGTAGGCGAGTTGAGAATGCCGGGTTGCAGATATGCGTGGATACGAGCATCACATCGGCAAACACTCACGCTTGTTCATTGGGCTGCTGCACCATATGCAAGATCCGATATCAAGAACAAAACCCTTGCTTTTTTTATTGCCGATTTCAAGAAGAGACAACGGCAGGGATCGAAGATAGGGTTAACAGACACCTGGGGAGGGACTTGCAATCCTCATGAGAAACAGGAATATGCGGGCGCTGTGTGGATTTTTTTTGATTCAATGACCAGCAGGTAAGACATGGTGCCATTCTGATGCTCGTTGCTTTTTCGTCTCCTTGCCCGTTGCCTCCCGTCGGCACGGTTAAGAGGAGTGCTTCGAGACTAAACTGCGGCGCTTCTCCGTTTGGGGGATGAAGGAAAGATGGTGTGCTTCCTTCCGCTTGGCGCGACTGTTTCGATCTGGCATTTACGAAGGAGGCTTGCCACTTATTCCCCAGATGTTTCTCTTTTCAGAATTCATTGAATGGGATCTAATTTTTCCTTGGTTTATTTTTTTCTTCTATTATTTTTTTTTATCCTTGACACGGGAAGTAGGCGGAAAAGAGTGTGCGCCTCAGCGGATTCTCAGACGAACCCGTGTTCAAATCCTGGTTCCAGGCGCCCTTCGCCTCACCGCAAGGGTTCCAATCCAATCAACCCGCTTGCAAAGTAATAGAAGCGAAAACCCCCCTCCCCTTCTCTCTCCCAGCTGTCCTAAAGGCTCGTCTGTCCCCCGGCCTGTTGACTGGGAATGACGGTGGGTGTCCTGTCAAAAACAAATGTTTAGGCCAAAAAGCCGGCCTCCTCTAGATCGAGTACAAACACCGTTATCTTGAAGCTTTGATAGGTTCAAATACGGAAGTGAAGGGAGAACCCAGCCGATCTTGATCCATCGTATGGGGCATGCATGGCTCGAGCCACGCCCAGATTTCTTGATGGCCAGGCCACCTTAATGTTGGACCTCTTCGCCGTGTAGTGCACGCCCCTCCCCATTTTACCCAACGTGGTCAGAACGTTTTAGGAAAAGCAAAGAGAAGGAGTGCTGTTTGGTGGAGAGGGAGGGCGGGCGGATGGGGAAGGGAAGGGGAGGGAATGGCAAATAACGGCGATCGACGGCGGTATTTGCCATTTGCCTAGGGCTTGCAGCTCGCGTAGACATGGTGCATCGGCAATAACGTCGACGAATGAGGGGCTGAATCGAGAGACACCTTTTCTGATTATTTTCTTTTTTTTTTTTTCTCTTTCTATAGTAGTCGATATCCATAGATTGGGGACGAAATGGGTAATAGTTGCGGATTTAGGTGACCTTCCTCTGTGACATTTTTGTCATGGCGCCCTTTCTTGGGAGCTGGATGAGAACATCAATAGCTTGACTTGAAAGGAAGCCAAGGTCATGTCTTCGAGCAGACAATGGCCGGCGGTTCTCGGCCAGTCCTGGATATCGACTGCGCAACGGAGATCAGATCAGAGATCAGAGTCGTATTGTCCAACCATTTTGTTTCTCTTCGCACCTACGGTTCCACTCCTCGATATTCATCCTGTGTGGAGACGATGCATGGTCGATCTCCCATCAAGGGAGGGAACAATGTGCTCTCCCTCTGCCAGTCCCAAGTCTCGGCAACATATTATCGCCGATCTCGAAGACTCCATCAAGGAGTCGCTCTGACACAAGGGTTACGAAACAAAAGCATTACGGCAGGCCTTCACTTTGCAGTATTCACTTCGCCGAGACCTCACAGGTACGCACTACACTAGTTCAACCAGTCCGCCGTCCTGCTCCAGACTGTTCGCCACTCTGCACTTCCACTGTGGCTATCACATCCGAATGGTCCGGGCCAAGGAAGAGCCTCTTCCTCCTGTAGGGTATTACGACCACGAGGGAAGGGGGCGTGTGCAAATCTCGACTCAGGTTCAAGTTGCCACTAAAATCTGTACGCACGAAGTACGATTTGGGGAAGGGAGGGGAGGAGTGAGAGACCTACGAAGTATGGCTTTCCGCAGGATGAGGATGGTGTCTTCATCACGCACCATGGCGATCCATCGTTTACCCTCTGCACTGCATGGCCCGCACTATTACTCCCGTAGCTTCAAAGGTTGAAGCTAGCAAACTCATCGTGCAGGTGTGGTGCTGCATACGAGCAGGTGGACTATTTTCCAACTCACCCGAAGTTGAAAGTATTTTGTTCACCCTCCTTTCCACGTGTCGACCGTCTGTGCCCAACCGCTCACCCAGAAATTTTGTCTCCTGGGCTGCCGTGAAAAGAATAAACTTGGTTTAAAAATCACTAGCTCGAGTGGAAATCAGGAAACCACGGAGTGTTCGATCTAACCGAAGTGTACGGTCTGGCCCCAAGAGGGCATCAGTAGAGACACGATGTTTCTCCTTGGCTGGCCTGCAGCAAACCAACTACCGGTAAAGCTTGGACAGACAGTGGCTGTGCCGTAATTACTTCGTAGGAGACATGGATCAATGACTGCGATTGAACTGAGAGGTGTGAATGAGCTGCCCAGGGGAGACGCCCACAGAACCTGGAAGGTTGTATTCGGGAAATAAGTCGATCCTTTTCTTACGGAGCTCTCCCTGTCTTGGTATGAGTTGCTGCTTTTTTTCAATGGAAACAGCCCTGCCGATGCTACGGGACCGGGGAAGAACCGGGGTCTCTCGATTCAACCAGGCATCCTTGGGCTTGGACTCACTCCATGAGGTCTTTCAGAATTCTAGGTCGCTCTAGAAACTGGAGCTGCCTCCTTGCACCTGTATTTCGATGTCGTCTTCTCCACTCATACTGAAGACCATAGGCTTCATTCATTGTCCTCGTCGGTCGCCAAGTTCAGGCACCCTTTGCCCTTGACCCACCTAGCACGTCACACTGGTTCGGTCCTACCGCTGGAGAAGAAGAAGAAAAAAGTTCCCGTCATCGACACCAACCGATGGTCGCCGACGAAGGATACGAACGCCTGCCCTGCACTTTGCAGGTGCCGCTGTGCTGTATTGGGAGTAAGCCCCGTCCCATCTCCCTGTTATCAATGGATTAAGAGTAGGAGAGCCGACGGCCGTTGTAACGGTTGGGTGTAACCTCAATTCTACTCCGTACTTTTCCTGAGGTTGCAATATATCTCGAAGCAAGGTCCGGCGGACAGGCCGCCCCGGTGGAAAGGATTATATTCAGAGCTCCAATGCAACTCAACTCAAGAACTGCTCAGTATTAGCAAAGGAACGGCTATGGAGATGTTCTCTAATCCTACGTTCCATCTAGTGCACTGCCCGTTTCTGGTACCAAGTAAATCTTCAATGAAAAGTCAGCACGGAGTACAGCTCACCTCTGATGTGATCCGAAAATGAGAGAGCCACATTAAAATATCGGAACCGCAGCTGGCCTCACCTGAACCGTACTTCGTCGTTTGGTTCCTGAATATTGAGTGGGGGGAATGCTGTCATGGGCAGCAAACACTGGATTCTTTTT